GTGAATTATGCTCCCAACATATGAAAGAGAGCATGTTCTTACTGTGCCTTGTGCTAGAGGAAAACAATTACGCTGAATAAGGTGGACCAGCTCCGTTATTGCGGTACATAAGACTTTGATTACATACTGCCAAGATTCATACCAGCCTAGTAGTTGTTGACAGATAAAGTAACAAAAATGAAACTCATTTATTTTTTCTTTATTGAGACCTCAAGGTAAAGCAAATTTTCAGGTCTTGTACTTACTGCATGGAAGGAACAGAGACTGACAGTCAAAGTGTGCCAGTCCAGAAATCTAAATTAAACCTAGTTTCATATCAAAGTTTCATTTAGTCTCTGAAAAGGAGCTGCTGCTTGGATTACTATTTTTTTCAAAACCTAAAACAAATATACTGTGGATTGCTGCAGTGTGTCTGTTATCCTGGCCATATGTTTCACTCGTGTATGCTTTTTTAAAAATTTAATTCTTTTTTTTACCCTTCAGTTATAGTGGCATGCTAGAAAGTGCCATCCCAACTCCTACTCATCTATTTTGAAACCAAAATTTACACAAAGTTCCCAGACTTTCACGTATGCTAAGAAGTGTTTTAATGCATAGGAAGCCTTTTCTCAGTAATAGTTCTGATGGTGGTAGAAAGTGCCATCAAATCACGGCTGACTTCTGGCAACCCCGTAGAGTTTTCAAGGCGAGAGACGTTCAGAAGTGGTTTGCCATTTGCTTGCCTCCGCGTCACGACCCTGGTATTCCTTGGCGGTCTCCCATCCAAATACTAGCCAGGGCCAACCCTGCTTAGCTTCTGAGATCTGGCGAGATCAGGCTAGCTACCAACAGCATATTTGATATTTTGGCAGTGATGGAATGTGCCATCAAGTCACAGCGGACTTATGGCAACCCCATGGGTTTTTTAAGGCCAGAGATGTTCAGAGGTGGTTTGCCATTGCCTATCTCCTTGCCATGACCCTGGTATTCCTTGGAGGTCTCCCATCCCAATACTAGCCAGGGCTGACCCTGCTTGGCTTCCGAGATCTGGTGAGATCAGGCTAGCCTGCACTATCAAGGTTAGGACATTTCATATTTTATAGATTAGTAATATGGGGCCAAATGATACATTACTGCCCCAAATAGCTTATATTTGCTGTGGGTTACTTTCACAAGGAATACATAGCAATGAACTGGATAGGTGACAAAATCTAACTCTATTTTACAAAGGTAGGATCCTTTGCATGGACTCAGTCATTACAGTTCTTTGTGGACTTGTCACTGCCATCAGTGCAGGAAGTTCTTCAGCATATTTTGTTGACACTCCAAGATCACTGCTGCTAACATTACATCAACAGTCCAGTACAATTTGGATGTCCCATCTTTGCTAATGGGTAGGATCGCCAGGTTCCCCCTGGCCACTGGTTTGGGACCAGGGGACATAGGCTTGCCAGCTCCAGTTTGGAAAACTCCTGGAGATTTGGGGGTGGAGCCCGGGGAGGACAGGGACCTCAGTGGAGTACAATGCCATAGAGTCCATCCTTCAAAGCACTTATTTTCTCCAGGTGAAATTATCTCTGTAGTATGGAGATGAGCTGTAATTCTGGGAGATCCCCAGGCCCCACCTGGAAGCTGTTGTTTCTGTTATTGGGGTTTCCTTCAGTGGTATGGATTATACTTGGTTTGGTGAAGAAGCCCAACAGCAAGGGAAGAGGCTTGAATCCAGTTTTTGCCATGGGAGTATCTTCACACAGAGAGCTGCTGGCTGCTAGTTTCCCCACAGATTTATACTGTAACTAGGAATAAGGTCTGCTGTGGAAATAAATACAACAAGCTCTACAAAGAGGCTCTGGGTGGGTGCCCTGGTCTTGGGCACTTAGCGTCAATTTGCTGTGGCAATCTCAGCAGGGTGTAATGACATAGAGCTTACAATTTTCTCCAGAGGAACTGATCTCTGCCATCTGAAGAGCAGCTGTAATTCTGAGTGATCTCCAGTCCTCCTCTGGAGATTGGCAGCAATGGTTCCCCAGGAGGAAATGGCTGGTTTGGAGGGTAGAGTCTATGACATTGTACCTGTCTTGGAGGTAGCAACCCTATCTCCTTCCCAGCCAACCATCAACATACCATTATCTACCCCTCTGACTTTAGCTTTCCATCTCCGTTTCTCCTCCTCCTCAGTGGGGACCCAAGCAGGAGGGAAAGTGACCACAGAAGAGCATAATGACTCAGAGTCTACCCTGCAAAGCAGCCATTTTCTCCAGGGGAACTGATCTCTGCCGTCTGGAGAGCAGTTTTAATTCTGAATGATCTCCAGCCCTCATCTGGAGAATGGCAGCAATGGTTCCTCAGGAGGAAATGACTGGTTTGGAGGGTGGAGTCTATGGCATTGTACCTGTCTGAGGTCCCACTGCTCCTCAAACCCCACCCTTTCCAGGCTCCACTCCACAAATCTCCAGGAATTTCCCAACTCAGAGATGGCAACCCTATCTCTTTCCCAGCCAACCATCAACATACCATTATCTGCCCCTCTGACTTCAGGTTTCCATCTCTTCCCCTCTCACTGTAGCCTCTAGGAAAAGTACACTCTTTCTCCACAGTGGTGACCAAAGCAGCTCACATCATTCTCCTCTCCCCCTTTTGATTTGCACAACAACCCTGTGAGGCAGGTTACACTGAAAGTCTATGAGTGGTCTGAAATCACCCTATCAGCTTCCACAGGAAGAATCTGGGTCTGGAAGACCCTGCTCTGAAGCCCTAACTGCTACATCACACTGGCTGTTTTTTGGGGGAGGCTGCCTCAGCAGGGTATAATGACACAGAGCCCACCATTTTCTACAGGGGAACTGATCTCTGTCATCTGGAGAACAGATGTAATTCTGAGTGATCTCCCATCCTCACCTGGAGACTGGAAATCCAAAAATAACATCCGTGGCAAAAATAACGAAGAGTCAATAAAAATACATTGCAAAATCATTTTCTGTAGTAACTCTGTAGAAAATTCTCTCTATTATTCCTCACACAAGGAAATGGCTAGCTTGGAGGGTGGAGTCTATGGCATTGTACATGCCTGAGGTCCCACCCCTCCATAAACCCCACCCTCTCCAGGCTCCAACCCTAAAATCTCCAGGAATTTCCTGGAGGTGGCAACCCTATCTCCTTCCCAGCCAACCATCAGCCTACCTCTATCTGCCCCTCTGACTTCAGCTTTCTATCTCCCCCCACCACCACCACCTGCAGCCTCTACCTAGGAAAACTACAGTCCTTCTCTACAGTGGGGACCCAGGCAGGAGAATGAGACCTTAGCAGGGTATAATGACACAGAGTTCACCCTGCAAAGCAGCTGTTTTCTCCAGGGGAACTGATCTCTACCATATGGAGAGCAGTTTTAATTCTGAGTGATCTCCAGCCCTCACCTGGAGATTGGCAGCAATGGTTCCTCAGGAGGAAAAGTACAGTCTTTCTCCACAGTGGAGACCAAAGCAGCTTACATCATTCTCCTCTCCCTGTTTTGATCTGCACAACAACCCCGTGAGGTAGGCTAGGCTGAAAGTCTGTGACTAGTCCGAAATCACCCACTCAACTTCCACAGCAAGAAACTGGGTATGGCAGACCCTGCCTAGGGTAGCCAGCCTCCAAGTGGAGCATGAAGATCGCTGGGTATCACAACTGAACTCCAGACCTCCCCCCCCCCCGGGGAAAAAAATGGCTTGGAAGGGAAACCCCATGGGCA